TGAATATTTAAGAGTGTCGTGTTCAAATATATGTGAAGAAGTGTTTGAACATCAGAAAATGACTTTAAACATCCAGAATTTCATAAAATTTATCACGAACATCTAACGATTGATACGATTAAAATTACCTATTAAAATATTCATCTCTTCTATATTAATAACATCAATGAATTGTGACACCATTTACTTATTTCGAGGAAAATTATTGAGACACACAAAGCGAGGATCATAAAATTGTATACGTTTACTAGCCACATTCCTTGGCAGCAAAAAGTTAAATTTATTTAGTGACGAGATTTAGATTTACCAGAACCACATAAAAATACAATATTTGTCTTTTGTTTAACATTAAATGACGATCTACAGTTTCTTTGATAAATAACCAACAATGTCATTAATTAACCTATTAACGTTTACAGTGGCAGTGGACCATCGTCTAATTAAATTTAACCTGATACTTTAACTTATTTGAAGATGTCCTTCTGTGTGCTTATATTAATTGATATTTGATCGTAAAATTTGATAAAACAGTGCTGTATAAAACAGGCGACATTTGACGGGCATCCTAAGCAATAGTTCTAAGGAGTCCATCAATTTCACATCGCATCTGTATGAAAGGCATTCGATTTGGTCATTGATTCTATCGAACATTTTTAACAGGCTATTGTTACATTTATATATCTAAGACTATATGCACCAATTGTATGACAAACGTTTGAATTATCTAGCACATTAATGTCTATATTAACATAAAAATTCAAAACCCAGCATCGTTAAATTAGATTTAATATAACTCATAAGAATATGTTATAATTGTGCGACGAAAAACAAATTGTGCATTTCATTAAGCTTATTAATAGAAGAAATCGATTGGAAAATTAAAAATATATTCTTTGATCAATCAGTGTCATCCGATCAATAATTAAAATTTAAAAATAAACTTACAGAAATATATTAAAAATATATTTGTAGTGATGTATTCGTAATAAAGGGGTATAGTATATATAATTTAAACTAGACCATTTTTTTCACAAAACCTAAGTACTGTTTCAACTACAGTACTCATCTTTTTGTTTGTGCTTAAGCTGTCAAAAGCGTCAGTTCTTTAGTTATAACAGTACAATTTGACTAAAATAGTTTTTACGGAGGAATAGATGAACATACTACTAAAATTAATTTGAGTCGACCATCGTAAACGTGCGTATATAGCTGATAATATATTAACAAAGAATAATTCTTGCTAATTGAATTATTACAATTAGCTTACAATAACACATCAACACCAAAGCCGTGCTAATTAATCTTTAACTTGAACTAAATATGAATAATTATTTTAAAAAGCATACATTGTTAATACGATTTTACGCCATTCGATTTTAAGTCAATCTTCCTAAAATCGGTAGTTAGTCGTAATAATACAGATTACACTGTATATATATAAAAATTATAATATAGCACTTGTAATAAAATTCTATCCTTATATATTTTAAGCCAATTATATATAGTTTGATGTAAATAATATATTAAGTACCGAATTATGAAAGATTCTTGGGTAATATAATCACCTAACCCTATTCATAAAAACTTAATTAACGATATTCTAAAATACTCATTTGACTCTCTCTGTTAAATTGTGTTTTTTTTTTTTAATGCACAATATGACTAATTTGTTCTGAACGTTATTCATTTATTACGGTATCTAGGGGCTGTTTTGTGTGTCCTACAATTTTGCTCAATAAAATTTATTTGAATCTCCGTGTGACACTCACATTAAATTTCTGAATCTGTTCCGCAGAACAACCTTTAGTAATCAATTGACTAAAAAAATCTAACTCGGTGTGTAAAACGATAAGATAAAAAGTCTCCCTTACGTTGCTCTAGAAACATTAGTTAAGGAGATTCCGAGTGGAACTTTACACATCTGGGAAGCGCCTTCAATATTTAGATAGCAAATACTTCCAGAATTTTTTAAAGATGTTCCATACCATATAAGTACAGGCGAGTGAGTATGTAAACGGAGAATTCCGTTGGATTATGATTGTAGGTACACGCGACATGAAACGTCATCAAAGACCAACGCACGGTGTGTTCGGACAAACATGTTGCGTGTCTCACCGTGTTGCATCAATCACAGTCAAACCACCACCGTTTCATCTTTTGCTACATAATCACCAACCTGAGACAAAACTTTGCTGATCCGTTAACGCTAAATTATAGTGACATGCTCACGCTTGGTGATATATGAAGTGTTAAGTGTGCTATCTACTCTATTTAGGGCACTTACTCCAGATTTAGTTACGTTGTGTTCCTTTTTAAATGCTCCGTTAAAATAACAGATCGCGTACTATACGATCAATATAACATCTAAATGATACATAATGTCTTTCATTTTAAGTCAGTTGTTAAAATAATTCTAAGTACAACTATATACCTCAGCGATTATTGTCATTACATAAATTTTAAAATTACTATTGAAATTCCGTTACATAAACTAACACCAAATTTGTAAAACAAAGTTCTCATTGTATTTATGGATAAATAATAAATGCTTTGCTAAATAATAATCCAGTGGCGCTATAACTTTGGGTCTTAAATTACATGTTTTTATAACTTTTGTTTTATCAGCCTTCTGTGCCTGTCGACATAGGTCCAAGACATTCCTCACGATATTTACCTTGTGCGCAAATAAATCAAAATGTATCGGTGACCCCAGGGTTAAAAGATGCTCCAAGCTAAAAAGATATAGATTGATATATAGATTAGTAGAAATTAAATGCTATCTTATTTTGGCCTAAATAATGTAAAATTTTTATATTTAATACAAATGATAACGTTGTTTTACAAAATAACTAAATTAAGTATACTAAGATTAAACACCAGAATCGAATGCAATGTAAAATGGCATACAAATTGTATGGTTACCAAGAGCGCCGCTACTCGATAGTTAAGTAAGTTCGTAAGTTAAGCTACTTTTTGTCATATTTTATTATAGCGACATAAACCAAATTTAAAAAAACAATATATCGCTTCACTCGACTCAAGCCTAGGAAGGCCTTCCGACTTGAAGACGTTTAATAACTTATAATTTGAACTGTATCCCATTGTTGTTTTTTTTGGCCTATTATTTTGTGTGAAAACTAAATTAGTGTTTGCACAAAATTATTGTATTATATATAATTTAAATTACTGCTTTATGCAATAGTTGCCCTCTCAAGTTTCTAATCAAATGCTTCTTAAGGCATACAAACAAGGGCTCATGCTCTTTATTGGAAGTTATAGTTCGCGGTATGAACGGGCCGGGTATATAATTTTCAGGCCAAACTAGTTTTACGGAAAGCCAAAAGCATTCAAGTATTCAATTTGTTTTGTTCTAAGTATTGTCTTTGTCAAGAACGGAAGATCTCTAAGACCACAAACGCAGTTCGATCGCCGACTCACTTAAAAAAAACAACGCATTCCTAACACCAATGTTTGTTACAAAACGAATAATACTCAGATGACTCAAGATTATGCTTAAATTTAAAAAAAAAGTAAGTCCTAAAATATTTCATTTTGTCCGAATCGTTTAAGCGCCATCTTCAGGTACACTAGGTTTTATACTACATCGAGAATAAACACCGTAAAATTCATAGAATTAAATATATTTCAGCCATAAGCAAATTATGAATTGTTACTTTATTTTTATTTTCGCAAGTTAACCCGAGATGGACGCCATCATTAATTTTCTATGACAGAAACATTGACAGAAATATTGTAATTATAATCAGTTATTGCTTAAATCGATAACAGCCACCCCTATATCAAGATCTTAAACACATTCGATTACCTATTTCGTATATTTCCCATACAGTATTAAATTTTGATAACTGGAGTATGTGTGTATAATTTTTATTGTCTTAGTCGAATAACATGAAATAAATAAAAATATATACAGTGAGGTAAAAAAAGCACACGTTCTTAATTTAAACTGATCCGTAAGAACTTACATTCTAATTCAATTATATTGCATAAGCACTCGATAAAACATATGGGCCAATGTCGTCGATATTAAAATACCGATATGTGAGATATTTGCGAGCAAAAAACCAGTTTTAGACCGCTAAATCGTGGACAAAATGGCATCACTAACTACATAATTGGGAAAAAACACTTAACAGTGACTTTGTCCTGATGTCTGGTTGTATACTTATACTTAATGATAATAATAATGATATAAGATTCAGAGACAATACAAGAGCTTAAACCCAACCCTGAAACTAGCAAATTTGATCCCAAAGTCGCCAATCGCGAAAACGCGAGAAAAATCAAAATCGGCGATCAGCTTATATTGCACCTTAGGAACTAGATTATTATATTGGTGTTAAATCTCATCTCAGGTACATTACAACTATCCATATAAACCTTAAATACCCTTGCATCGTGTCCGAATCCGGCTGTGAACTCTTAGGCCCGCGCAGTGTCCGGTTTTATCCAAAATACCAATCGTAAAACTCGTATATACCGTAGAATACGCCTCATAGATTTAAAAATACCATTCGATTTCACAGCAATATATACGAATTATAATTTCTATGGGGCGTTATTATCGGTCGGGACCAGAACAACATGTACGCCCGTTCCCTTCCCTATATGCATAATACGGTAGAATACGACTCGTAGTTTCTCATAAAATCGCTATTAAGTTAACGATCTATGGGTGAAAGTCAAAGCGACAAATATGACCGGCATGATAAGGATTTTACCATACATCATATTTTCCGACAGGTTACGAGAATATATTGGAATACGGGCCATAGGGTTTCACCGCCACCTAAACTAAGATATGGATACGGCCTCAGCCACGAACACAAAAGAAGTCGACAGCCAAGCAGCAGGACAATGATCGTAAGAGATTTTATATGTTCAACGCCGCGCACTAGCTCTTAGAAGCAGGTAAAATTTACAATACATTTGCCTAGCGTAAGACCGAGACAACGCCGGCGCCATTAATATTTGAGGTATCACTGTGACTGTGGGTCGCATTGGAGAAGTCGGACAATAGAAGGATCGCTTTTAGCACCCTCGATAAACTCTTCCAACGATAGTTTCCCGTCCTTATTTCTATCCATTTGTCGGAATATTTTGTCTGTCCGCTTTTCCGGGGTGGACTCGTCTTCCGGCATCTTCATTACGGAACCTACCATTTTGTAGATAGCCTGAAACGTAAAGGACAAAATGAGATGGCTCTTAAAGCAATTTTTGTTAATTTATAATTTGTGATTTAATTATAAGTTTATTTTCCGCTTACAGACAAAATTTTTTGAACATAACTAAAAAGTTACTATTTATTTTATTATATTAACAATTTAATAGTTTTGATGTTTTAATTAATTAACCGGAATATTTATACAAAAAGCTCCTCTGGCGTAGTAATGCCAACAAGCACAAAGTCAGGAGTTGTACTCAGGAGCTGGCCATTCCGGGAATTTTAGTCGCAGTTATAAGACACATCTACTTATTCAACAAAAGTCCCACGAAATTTAGTTTTTATCCACCCATAAAACAAAAAATATCTACTTATTTACAATTATTCTTATTTTTAACTTTTAATTTAATTTAATTTATTATACACCGTTACACACGATTTACTCACACTTCTAACTTTAATATTATTATTATTATTTTTCTACTTGGTATTATTATTATTATTTATTTTACTTTATTAGAGGCGCAAACTAGCTGCTGTGGTCTCTGGCAGAATGACCAGCGCTGTGGAACTTTTTGCTTCTCAGCATAATGCTGAGCCAGGGCCAATTACAACCACAGTACACACATTGCACACTGGAAGCGAACCGAATGGCAAAAGAGAATTTTTTAATTTTAATTTTTAATTTTTATTGTTTTTGATGTCTTATTTTATTTTATTTTTTCTTTAAGTATTGTTATTTTGTGTGTTTATGTGTGTGTGTTTTCGTTTGTAATAAATGTTATGTCTATGTTATGTCTTAACTTGACTCTGCTACTGACCAACAGAGAACTTATTAACAAGTCATGTTGAGTTTTTTTATTGTAATAGAAGCAAACGGGCAGTAGGCTCATCTGATGTTAAGTGATACCGCCGCCCATGGACACTTACATTGCCAGATGACGCGCAAGTGCGTTGCCGGCCTTTTACGAATTGGTACGCTCTTTTTTCGAAGGACCCTAAGTCGAATTGGTTCGGTAATACTTCAGTGGGCAGCTGGTTCCACATAGTGGTGGTGCGCGGCAAAAACTGTTTTAGGAAACGCTCAGTTGTGGAACGACGGACGTTGAGGTGATACGGATGGTATTTTCCGCTCCGTCTGTCCGAACAACTCCTCTGAACACTCTCCATGGTAATGAGACCCCACATCTCTACGCAACGCTAAGGGAACAAGCCGCTCAGAAAGGTCATTCGAACCGCTCTTCGTTGAAAACGGTGAAGCGGAAAGTACTGGTACTGGGGAGCTCCCGCCCAGAGGTGAGAACAGTACTTCATGTGGGGGCGAATTTGCGCTTTATAGACTTGCAAGCGGTGGCCCGGAGTGAAGTACCGTAAAGTTATTTCATAGTAAAACGCAAATCATTTGAAAGTTCCAATACAGTTTCAATCATTATATTACCACAAATTAAACACATTTTCGGACCATTTAGATTTCAACGTTTTCCTATAACCATAGGTCTCATTTAATATATACTAAAATCCTGCCACGGATCCGCTCAAAGGGATTCTTTTTTTATTTTAGAAATAAATATAACCTATGTTGCTCGGGATATTATGGCATTCTAATCGCGAAAGAATGTTATGGTTACGGTTTACGGTCCAGTTTTAGAGTTTATTCCATACTTAAACACATCTATATTAATAATATTAATGTAGATTATAATTGTTCTTATAAATTTCCATTTTCTATTTTAAGTTAAAGAAATCTATTCAATTCATTTGCAGGAACTTTACCTTAGAATACTATTAATTTATATAGAAAGTAATCATTCATATTTATACAACAAATATTCTACAAACCGGTAATTTTATAAGATCTATAGAAATTCAATTGGGAATTACCCAGTCATAACACATACATACCGTAACAATTTCAAGCATTTCCTGTCGAGATATATAACCATTTCCGTCAAGGTCGTACATGGAGAAGGCCCATTTCAACTTTTGTTCAAGCTTGCCTCGTGAAGTAACGCTCAAGGCGCATAGGAATTCCCGGAAATCTATAGTTCCATCGCCGTTCGCATCAAAAGTTCGAAAAACATGTTCTGCAAACTAAATAAAGAGTGTTAATTAACAGTTAATAATAATTAATCTCGGATTGTTATTTGTTTAGTGTTCCTTCTTCTTTCACTCTCAATGAAGCAACAAAATTGAAAATATGCTAAAGAATGCCTGATTGGTACCGTTGGACATTAAGTGGGCTTTGTATTTTAAGGATCACATTTAATGTAATATTTGGTTTATTTAAAACATTAACCCAGGTTAGCGTCAACACAAAGGTATAACTTATAAAAAGCAAACGGCTATACACACTATTTATATATAAAATAAAGGAATAATTAAAAAGTAAAGACATGTGTTTAAATTAACATGACACTGCGAAATTCAAACAAGATATCGCGCTTTCATAAATGAACATAATAGCACAACGCCATCTATTGGAATATTTAAAACTTACGGCTCAAAATGGCCTAGTTTTCATACAATGGTTAATATATTTTATGATCTTCAATCTATATTTAAGTGCAAATTAAAAAGGTATCTAAGGTAATTTTTTGAAAATCTGCTGTCCACTGAAATCAAATCATTTTCACTGTGACCAGACAGAAACATCTGTATGTCTGGGTTGCATATTAACCAATTACAAACATGTATTACACATATTCACCTTACTAGCATCTCCATATGGAAAGAAATTTCCATATATTTTCTTAAACTCCTCGACAGATAAATGACCACTGGGACAGTCCTTCAGAAATCCCTTGTACCATTCCTGTATTTCCGCGTCTGGAATGTAAACATAACTTATAAGCACATACAAATTAAATTTCTCACAGCTTGAATGAAATTTGGAAATTTTACACAATAGGTTAAATTCGCTCTAATATAGAACTTCATAATAGTGAAACATTGAATAAATTTTTATACCACAACATCTATTAATTTATTCTTCATACAACTTTTCCTATACCTTTATAAAAAAATATATAATAACTAATTACACAAACAAATATATTTTAACATATTTATTTTAAGTTTAATATTTTTATTTTATAACATATTTTTCTGAATCGCCACAACGATTACGATAAGGCAGGTACTATATTATCCATTCTTTATAGGTAGCCGCAAACGTATAATATGTACGCGAAGTTGAAGATAAATATTAAAAGTGAGTTATTAAAATTTACCAAACATTCTGTTACAAATTAAGCTTTGTCTTTCAGAAAGTATGAAGCTTGGCAAGTGCTTACAATTGAATTGGCTCAATTGTTTAACGTAGTTAAACTTACAGTAACTGTACCATTTAAAAAAACACAGTAAACGCGGATAATTAAAGCATCCAGACATTTTTTATTTATATCATTTTGTTTCCAAAATGTTAATTTCAGTCCGCGTTGGCTTGACAAATGACTAAAAAAAACTAGTGTTGTTGAACATTTTATATTTTATAATTTCAAATTGGTCTATCAGCCGAAGTCACGACATGCTACATAATGAAGACTGAATTATTAAAGTGAAATTTTAAGTGATGCAACTAGTATTTTGTGTAAGTAAGCCACGGTAGTCAGCCTCATAAGTTAGATTTACATAAGAAAGTTATTTATGCTGATCTAATAATATAATATTTTCTAGGTGTTTTGAAGACAATACTAAGAAAAGAGGCTGCAGCAATTGAAAGAAACCTATGGGCCACAGATTTCTGTACATATCTGTTTCGTGTTTTTTTTTAGGTAGGTGATCAGCTTTCTATGTCTGACACACGCCGTCAACTCTGGTCAAATAATACCGACTTTTTCGCAATACTTTCCTACCGTATGAGCCGCGATTCGAACGCTCGACCTCATTGTACAGAGGCAGACGTTCTCTAGGAACTGCTCCACATTGCATCAATTAGCATACATTAAAAAAACGCGCCAGAATTTTACCTTTCATTGAATTAAAGAACTGCAACCAAAGTTGACCTGCTCGGAACATGACAGGAATAATAGGATCATGAAAGGAACATGGAAGGCTCCTGTTTTATAGGCTTTAAAAATAATTACCTGAAAATTCCGTGTTTTGTTTAAGATCTTCGAGGACCTCAGGCTTCAGTTTGCTATTTTGTTTACCCATATTGATTTTTATTACGACTGGTGAGTGATAGTACCTATATCAATTTTCGAACGAGTCACGTGGTTTAGTTCTTCAAAAACTGTGCCCTAAAATGAAAAATCCAATTACTATAACACTTCTAACGAAGTGTCATAAAGCATTTGATACAAACCTTTAATACAAATGAGGAAGAAATAAATGGTTATGACAGAAACTAAAATCTAATTTTATAATTTGTATATTATACATGAATAGGCAAAAGGTGAATCATTAAAAATATGTATTCTTAAAAATACACCGAGAAATGATGGTGTTTCCATCTATTGATGTGCCTATTACGCTAAATGCAACTACACTGCGGGTGAACCGAACAATAATGCAATCAGACTTACATTCAATGGTAGTATGGGCCTATAGTTTTGTCAAGACATATACAATATGACTAAAGATAAAAAACAATTAAAAAATCATTGTCATCTGATATAAAATTAAAATAATAAATGCAATATTTATTATCTTAAGCAACAAAAATCCTGCAACAAATTAAGTACAACTTAGTACGGGGATTTGTGCTTTTTAAGAAAAGTTCACAAACGCAATACTTAAGTTTAAATTACCTAATTGTATAACTATTCTAAGACACATACTACATAAATAATCGATTTTAAAAATTGTGCTCGAAATTTCTATGAATACGTTACAATAACTTACCTACTAATACATATAAATTAAAATTCAATTACATTTAATGTGCTTTTACATATATTCGTACATGAAGTATTATAAAAGTTTAGAAAAAGAGGAATTGTAGTTGTGCGCAAAAAAAAATATTTCTTATTAATAGTGATAAAAAATATAATATGTATTCGCTTAGGGACTCGAAAATTTGGCATGGCACATGAAAATAATTTATGAAGATATTTAGCGTTTAGGCGATATATCAAAAAATTTATACTTATATTTAGATTTCACTCTTTTAGTATTTAGTTTAATAATTACACTTGAGAAAATCGTTTCACTTAACTATACGAAAACCTACAACAAATATTTAACATAAACAGATTCAACATTGAAGACATTCAAAGCATAAAACCGATTTTTAACTGAAATTATTTCGATAAAAAACGCATCCCTTGACAAGCATATGTGCAACAACAATTACAGCTTAAACTAAAAATATTGAGCTGTTCCTATTGCTTTCGTTTAAAAACCTTTTTAAAATCTCCGACGGATTTTAGAGCGATAGTTTTTTTTAGAAATTATACGACTAGCTCGTTTATAACAAAATCACTTTATATTTAATTAAAACAGTGTACTTGCAATTTCATTTTGAATAAGGGGTAAAAGTAAGAATCACAATCAACTAAGTGCTAAGCATGACTCTGGTATGTCAAAAACGTATTGGATTTCAAATATCATTTATTAAATGGGTAACTTTTAATTAGAAACCTAAGTCTAAAAATTACTGGGAGTGTTATAAAATCAAAAGCGTAAAACGGAAGAGAAGATCTTGTAAGAAACTCTCCGCACACAGCTCGCTCCGCATGATATGCAATTAATTTTGATTCAATTGATAAATACCAGTAAAGAATTGATTCGATTGCTAAAAACAAACGTCTCGAGAGCCTCAATCAGCTCTGGCAATTTTAAGATACCTGAGTCTCGACTCTGAACCTCCTGTATGGAAGGTATTTAAAAAATCAATTATGATCGAATTACTTGTTTTAGGGATTTTGGGCTAAGACAATCAATATGGCCACGCTTTTAAGAATACCAAAACTGATTATATCACATTCTATTTAATCATTAATTCTATTTGCCTTGTGTTGCACATAATACCGTCTTGATATGTACTTCACCCTGTCAGCTACAAAACGATTTTTTTGTTCCCATCGTGTTGATTCGTATCACTCGGTGACATCTCGAAAACCGTTTACATACACAAAAAATTTAATACTGACATTATTCCTTGTTTAATCATATTTTTTTAATCACATTTATTTAGTTTAGTAGGTGTTGATAACAAATAGAACAGAATTCAATACGTCTTAAACTATGTAACAAAATGTGGAATGTAAAATATATGAATTTAGTTGGCAGTGCACAATCCCAAACTACGAAACTACATGGGTGTAAATAAACTATAGTAACCAAAGTCAGTTGGGAAAAAATATTAATTTTTAATATTGCGATCTAAATTGTGTTTTTTCAATAGATACAATAATATTTAAATTCAACCGTATATATAAAATGGTATTAAGCTTTTATCTTCGTTTGTATGGGAGCATTATTTACACCCAACCTGTTAAAGACTGTCTTAAAAACACGTAGAGTAGTGTTGTCGCACTGAAAACTATAGAACAATCCAGAAATAACAGTTTAAAAGTATGAACTTAACTATACATGTAAGACTAGGTCACTCTATATTGGTTCTGAATAATGCTGGACATAGGCAACTTAAATTCATAGATCAGGTACTTAAAGCTGTCACGGCCATTATAGTGTTAAATCAATTCAATAGCAATCGCAAAATAATTTAATTATTCATGTACGCATCGTAATGCACCGTGACGTCGATTTTAAACAAACAAAAAGGAAATGTCCGTGCCAGCCTATGATAACTGATCAGAGTCATTTAAAAACCTCAAAACAGAACGAAGTATTTACAAATTGGGAAGGCACAGTAGGAAGAAAGGAATAGGTTAAGTTTCACTAAAACGAAGCTCAGTTTATATCGCTAAATAGAAACTTACACGAGGATATAGATAATATCTCATACAATTACGTCGATCACTAAGTAGTACAACACCGATATCGAATGAAATATGTATCATATAATGTGATAATGTATACTATGAATTTTTATAGTCAACAGTGTTGATAAGATCCATTGCTATGGTTTTTCATATTCCAAATTATCGGCTGCCAATTAATTCTTTAAACTTTCTACTATTTGTGTAAAAAAATATTTGCTTATTTATAAAAAAAAACATTACAGCTTTTTAGGTCTGGGCCCTTGGTTTCTGTATCTGTTTCGTGTTCATTAGTTTTTTCGGATAGGCAATTAGATTAGCCTTCTGTGCCTGACACACGCCGTCTACTTTTTAGTTCTAAAGCATGCCTAAATTCATGTACCAGCGAGTGTTAAATGCGCAAATAGATAGAAAGTCCATTGGGGCACAGCTTGGGATTAGAACCTACGGCCTCAAAGATATCGTACGCGGAAACGATTAGGCCCTGCTCAATAATAACGCTGCTTCATATAGAATACTTTAATATTATTACTGTGATATAAGCCGACAACACGATAAATAGGTTCCAACGTCACATGATCTTGTTTTAATTTTTAATGCCAATAAAAATAAACTTCAGGCAAGCGAAGTCACGTAGCAATAATACCGTGAAATTAAATATATTTTAAACAAACATAACCGAGGTGAAATAACAATGCTCTAACACGTCGTGGTCGTATAATTATCGAGCCTCTTATTAATTAGGCTTTGGCGAATACAACATTAATACAATTTAAAATTTTACTCTACTAGATGTAAGCACAAACAGCCTATAAACTCGTAAAAATATCCTTAGAAACACTTCCCAAACGAATCATAGATACCGACGAATGACGAGCTATAATGTAAATTGGTTATATTAATCTTATCAATTCTGTTAATGGACTATACTAATTGTATCGTTTATAATTAAATTACGATTGACATTTATATTGTGCCGTACATGTTCGAAGTATTCCTGTATCAATATCAAATTTCGTAAAAGGGGTTGATCTTTGGAACCAATATTAATAGACAATCCGACAGCGAGATAATGTTAATTAAATAGATAAAAGTATCTAAAATTCTGAAATTTAAAAACGGTACAAAACCCCATTGGAACATAAATGATACTGCATAATGAAAAAAAAAATTTTTCAATATAAAAATGCAAATTTTCAAAATATGTAGTGTCAAAGGGACTTAATTCGTGCCGTCGGGTTATCTGGGTGGGTACACAATATGAATAGGTGAAATATGCTGAATTTATTTATTTATAGCGTTTAAGGCGCTAGCATTTTAGAGAGCTCCTCGTCCTGAAGACAGCCCTTGAGGAACTCGTCCTGTGTGAGCTGTCCATCGTTGTTCTCATCCATTTTTGCGAAAATATTCTTGGCACGCTCTTCGGCCGAGTCCGCTGGCCTGTTACTTGAACAGGCACCCAACATATCGTAAATTGCCTGAAATACAATACGATCGTAATGAAGATCGGAAAATAAAACGTTCCAGCAGCTTAGCGTTCGTATTGACGTTATTCAGAAGGTATCGATCGATATTGCTGTATATATCTACATAGATTTATAAATCTTTTGTAGTTTTACCTGCAACGCGGCTATCGGCCCTCCATCGTACTCATACAACCATATCTATGTATAGTCAACTATGGCAGCAACGCTCTATTGAGTTAACGACGGCTTAATATAATAGACCCGTCACTCTTATCTAGAGTAATTAATATCTTTAGCTTTTACTTTAACTTTGTAGTTATTTTTGAAACAATACAGAATCGAATAACACTCATCTCCCTTCGCACGATTTGTAAAGAACAAATATTCATGAAATATTCCCAAAATACAACAGACTCGTAAAACATATCTGCCAATACACGAATACTTTTACTCTTCAGCGGCGCTGAATTAAAAATAATAAAGCGCTGAGGCATTTACATTATTCATACCTGAACTATTTTAGTCATCTCCTGAATATCGATCACCCCATTTCCATCCACGTCGTACATACGGAAAGCCCATTTAAGCTTTTCCTCTGGAGTTCCACTGGACGTAACATGAATCGCCTGCAGGAATTCCTAAAACAAGGCAAACACCAATGTTTACCGACACATGCTGACTTCCCAACAACACACACGAGAAACGCCTCTCGTTACCCTCACACGTGAACTCAATTAAACATCAAAATACAAGTTCATTCGCAATTCACAAAGCAAAGTTTCGCAGTTGCAATACCGTAAATTATATATTTGATGTCAATGTGATACGTTCGCAAACAGCACCGACATACGCCTTATAATAAGTTACCTTGAAATCAATGTATCCATTTTTGTCCATATCGAAAGTGCGGAAAACATGGTCGCAGAACTCCACCGCGTTCCCGGACGGGAAGAACATCTTGTACATATCCACGAACTTCGCTGGAGTCAACCGGCCATTGGGACAGTCTTGCTATAAAAATAAACACAGAAAATTATTAACCTTCTTATTTTAAGAAAAAACTAAATGATTTATTTTTAAAAATCTTCATTTAATTATGGAAATAAACTAATTTCAGAACCGCAGACTCAAACTAAAATTGTATTAATGTTATAAACTAACTTTAAATCCTTTATACCACTCCTTGATAGTGGTCTCATCGTATGATGTGTGTGTTTTGAGAAAGTCCATATCTTCCTTGGTAAGTTTGTCTTTACTGACAAAGCAACCCATCTTAACGTCTGAAACAAACAAAGAAAACGTTATTATATTTCCACTACTATTATTAATCTACCTCTAATTTTCTATAACGCTCAACGTTTACAAATAAACGCAAGCTTATTAAATTGAAATTATTTTATTCCTACATAAGTCCAAAATTTGCTTCACGAATGTCACGTTTTATTGCAACGACTGTAAACGTAGGAATGGTAAAAGAAAACATGAACAATAACCGTTTGCGAAATTGCTGCTAATATCGACATTCATACATATCGAATAACTTTACATACGGGATTCATACTCAGCACCAACTTTGAATCTTACCCACAGACTTACAATGTATTACAGTAAAGAAATTCGATGAAATAAAATGGCTAAATTAAAATTTTGTAAGGCTTGAACCTCTCAAAGGACTACCACTGATCTCCTAATTATCCGTTTTCAGCTCAAAATAATTGCAAGTCATGAATATTTGAGTTGGATCAGAGGGACAAAACTGTCACTATCAATTATTTCTGACCGTCAGGATGATTAATAATTCTAAAATCTATCTCTGGCGACTTTATTACGAATTCTGAGGTAACGTTTGCAAAATTCAGCTAGTATAGTAGGAATATGAGGAACTTGAGTACTGCTGATGTATGAGTTTCTCTTCACAATATTATTGACGGCGCGTTTGACGCGGCTGGGCGTGGAAATGTCACGGACGGAATAGCGATAAAGATAAAAAGTGCCGCACCCCCGCGCCAGCCACTAGTCTGCTCCCATTTCCCAGCACAATAACACCTGACGCTTCAATTTGAACAACTCTTCATATTGTATTGCATTTGCAGTAGAGATCAATCAGATAATATGCCTATTCTTATTTATTTATGAATACTAGTCGTAATCACTACGTGTCGTTAATTAGTATACTTAGTCTGGCCATAAATACTGTTACAATTAAAAATAAACAGAATATTATATTTGAATTCGGAATCTGTCATTTTTATATGATTGTACATTGAGTTATCTCATTTTGGCGTCAATAAATTGTACAATATTTTGCGATATTAAAATGGAGTGGGGTGATAATGAGAACCGAATCGCTGTGATTGAAATTTTTAAAACTCTCCATACGCCTAATACCAACATTAGTAAAATATTTGTATACCGGGCTATTAATGAATGAGACAATGAGACCTCCTCTGTTTGTGACAGAAAAAGATCTGGCCGTGAACGTACTGTTCGTATGAAAAATGTGGACAAAGCAAGGTGGGATAGAATTCGAAGAAATCCTGTCCGAAAGCAATAGATTTTATCTCGGGGGATGAAGATAGCACCTAGAACCACGTTGCGTATTTTAAAAGATGACTTAGGACTTGTAGCCTATAAGGGAGTGCTGGTCATTTCTTAAGTGATAATTTAAAAAAGAATTGGGTGGTAAAATCGATACACCTACTGAGGCGGTACGCAAACGGCGGTCACAGAGAACACTTCGAATAAGCTTTTTATATTTTAAATTATTTTATATTTATGTTTTACATTAAAACACTGTAAAAGTAATGTTTAGAAACATTTTTTTGGTATATGCGGAACGCATCTGTCGGCTGTTCTTTTCTATAAAGAAAACTATGTCTGGTGGCATGGATGACGTATATTAGATATAGAACTTGGATGGTGTATCCACGCTTGCTCCTGGGGATTTGATGTAATTATGTATTTGCATTGTTAATTAAAGTTTTAACATTTTTATAACGTATATAGGATTATCATATAAGAGCTCAGAGCATCAACTTTATCTGGGTAGTATTAGCGCAAACGCGTAATAAAGAAACTTACAGCCGAATTCAGGGAAATGATTGAAAATATACCTTAATAACAAATCAACAAGATTTCTTACAGCTCAAAAGAATAAAAAATACATAGCTATTAAGTGAAGATGGCTTAGGCCATATTAAATCTTAGGGTGATGTTCAGCGTGGCTTATCGCTATGACTCCCGTATGTATGTCAAAACCAATACTTTCTAGACAAACGGAAGTCTCTAATCTCGACTCTGGATCTAACCCTTACTTTCCGGCCGTAATAAGCGGGGACGCAAAGTTAAATGTTTATGTTCTCAGATTTTTTCATTATAGGTACCAAGGGGGTCCACAAAAGTTCACCACTTATGTTAGGCAGTCGGGCACAAGGGTATACACGCTTCTGAAAGAGTATGCTTATTAAGAAGCAATAGACATACGTACATACTGTATATGTACACTGAATAGATTAAAAACGTCATCTAAACGTACACACCTAAACTGGACGGGACTAACTTTAAACTTCATTTGGAAATATTTGACAAGAAAAAGGATGAAAGGATAAATTATTGATTATTTACACAAAGTACCGAACTTTCTTTCGATGAAATAAGAATATTTATATGTATATCTAACTCTCCGCATCGGCATAGATAAAGAGAAAAAGTGATTAATGTAATGTAGGCACAGCAAGCGAGCCGCCAGCAAACGTATTATATCATTAAACAATTATACTAACTAGATTCTGCATCTGTGAGAAATTAAAATATGGGAGTCAGAGGTTTTAGTCAGAATACGACGAAGATCAAGTTATGTGGCAGGTAGCGCAATGTCTAACAAAGCCCTTGCAATAGACATAATTTTAAAACCAACAACTGCGCTATTCAAAAGTCTACTGTAACTTTAATAATTCCAATGATATTTTCATTTCGAGTTTCAACTGAATACAATTTTAATTGTTGCTCAGTAATCATTTCACAAATTTCGTAGTTTTTTAAAACTTCATACTGTGTTATGTAAGTATTTTATCGATTCATTTTAAAATTTTACAATTGCAAGTAGTTTACAACACAGAAATATTCATTTACTGAATTTATGGAGCAAAGACCAAAAGAAGCACGCTGAATATTAATACAGGAAAAGTAGTGTTGCAAATGATAATAATGTAACAGTATTAAACTACTAAGAGAATGAAGAGGTTTTTAAATAAAAATCTCTTCCTCTTAGCACGATTTCATTAAGCTAAAACGCTGTCAGCCGTTTATTTAGCTAACTAATAAAGTCTGTACCTACTTAATTGTGCCTGTAGACTATAACCGTTATTTTGAGCTTCGAAAAGTTACAATACTATCAAAGATTACATTATAGTAATATACTGAAATCTGAGACGCAATAATTTGTCGCAAAAGCTGGTGGCCCTTACGCATTATATTAAATATTTAAATAAGCCATTCACCTCTTAAAAGTGTGTCCTTGTTCACGGTTTTTATTCTATTTGTAACTGAATTAAAATTAAAGATATATGTATATAGTATAGATGTTTAAAGAAAAAAAGGACAAACAGTCCACAAGAAATTCGCTGCGGCTTCAATTTATGAAATGGGAAACGGATTGTATAGAAGATGTAAAATGTTATTTCTGATGTAAATTTTCAATATAAGCACAGAATGTAAACATGTATGAATATAATATCGAATATAAATAAAATCACGTTTCCAGAAATACTTTCCACTCTCGTAAGAGAAATTGGAAAACGTACGTATTTTATATAGTACCATATTTCCTAGATTGTAAAGGAATGGCTGTCCTTTTATCCAAACTAAATATTTTTCAACACTTTCATCCGCCCTTATATACATGCATCAACAAACTAAAAATGTTTCTTTGAAATGTTGTAGCGGAATTGCTACGAAAAACTCGGACAAATCCTTTTATTTGTAAATCATATTTTATACAGCAAACGACGATATTCATAACAATATAAAAATCTGTCAGTTCTAGGATAGACAACGCAGAAGCTTAGCTTTGCTAACGTCAGGTCCTGGAATTTCAAATGTAAACTTATGCAGTAAAATTGGCAATTACTTTAATCACTTAGTCAAACAGGCCTAAGACTGAACTTAATAGGAAATGTGACGACCATAACTTTCCTAGATAATAATGTGGTAGCCGAAGCACGAGCAATAGGGTGTTCGTGGCCTAAGTGACCCATGATAGGAGGCTATTAAATCACCGTGGACGCCCTTTGTCCTGACCTTGACAGCTTTCCCACCGCAAAATTATATTTGTGACAATATTCGTCACCGGCGAAACTGAATTCAATTTTGCTTTTGCTCTCCCAACTGTCTGCACTTTTTTCATTTTATTTATACAACGAAGGATTGTGAAATTTAAATCTTATATTTCCTTGCAAATCGCGTTTATACAATGCCACCTGCATACATAATTTTGAAGGCTATACAAGAAATTATAATTTTGACTAAACAAGTTCACGGACAGTCAACATATTTAACATAATTCAAGGATCGCCAAATGCTTAACAGGTCCTGAAATTGAAGAAATCGCTTCAGATTACGCGTATTAATTTCAAATTGATTACAAATACTAACTGGTTGACGTATTAGAAGACCCAAATCGCACTCATAAACCTCAAATTCATCGACGTTATAATTATTGTTGAAAGCGTAACACAGGAAGTGAGGGAGTTTATGATTTTTTTATTACGGGAATCTGTATTGGCTTTTCCAAATAATATTATTAAATTGAATGTTATTTTCTTATTCTGAATCTTTCTTTTAAATATTTTCAAACAATATATTCAAAATATTATAAGACCGAAATAGGTATTCAATGTTTTACCCTTTTCACAGTCATATGGAACAAGCTGGGTGAAAGTCAAATAAGAGAAATAAGACCGCAAAATATTTTCCAACAATAAAATTAATTTGTCTCAACTTTTTTCAATTTGTACAAAATTTTGAATTTAATACTTACTCTTAATTAAGACATGAGTGAAAACTCATCACAAATAATTCAGTGTTAAGCGTTTGGATAGAAATCTATAATGCTTTAGGAGTCGCAAAATCCGCGTTGAAGATATTCTTTAACAAGGTTAACGCTTATTAAATAAAGCCACGCTTGCGATGGTGTCGAAGGGAAATTCAATAAATTACGCTCAACCATCCAAAGGCCTTTATGAAAATGCACTGTCACGATCACATTATTATAG